GAGTTAATAAATTTTATACTAGTATGAAAACACATAACTTCAATGAGTTAAATAGGCTATTACTTGTATGAAAAAGTTGTAACAGAGCCAAAAATATATGAGAAAAATATGAAATTGCTAAATATGAAATTTCATAAAAATAATGCATGCAAGAAACACTAGATATTTACTCGACTTTTTTGCACATTGACAAAATCTATCAAAATTTGGAACTTATGTGAATTAATAAACTCTTACTTATATGAAAACTAATGAACTTAAATAAGTTAAAAAATTTAATACTTATATGAAAAAGTATTACTTGTATAAGTTAATAAGACTATTACTTGTATGAAAATTTGGAACAGAAATAATAAAATTAGTACTTGTATGAAAATTAATGAAATTATATGAGTTGGTAAATTTAATACAAGTTATATTTTGTATGGGTTTGTAAAATTATTAGTTGTATGAAAAATTTTAACAGAGTCGAAAATGTTTGGGAAAAATATGAATTTCAAGAAAAACGCGAGGAACTCGATTTAAAATTAAGAAAGCTAAACTACCTTATTGGCAGGCACTCAGGCCTATCAATCCACAACATATTATTGCTATATAATCAAACTCTAAAACCAGTCTGGACTTATGGCATACATTCTGGTACATTGCCACAATCCAGCGTGTTACAGTATTAAGCAATTAATAAGTGTTATTGCTGTAAGGTCTAAAGCTTAAGCACTCTTAGCTCTCTCATTGTAAAACTGAATTAATAAAAGACACTCCTTGTTTGTCACTCGTAGAGTACGGTCGTTTCTATTGCAAGCGTTTCTTCTTAAAACATGGTGTCAGATTAAAACCACACAGAATAACACAAAAAAAAAATTTTATAAATAAATAAAAAATTAAATAAAATGTCATACAACGAGTCGCGGTTGCAAATATTTATAATTTGAAAATTTACGATATAAGTCTATAAGTATAGTTTTCGATCGAAAAACATGCCAACGGACCACGTGAAGTCGGAACTTTCGACGTGGCGTAAAATCGTTACGCAAGTTGCCCAACCAAGGCCTTTAAGCTTTAAAGGCGATATAAAAGAAAACTTAAAAATTTTTCGTGCGAGTTGGGAAAATTTTATGATCGCGTCAGAGATTGAGCTCAAGCCAGAAAAAACTAAAGTCGCTATCTTAATATCAATGCTAGGCCATGACTGTCTGGTTAAAATGCAAAATTTACCCTTAACAGAGTTGGATAAGTCAACGTCTGAAAATCTATTAACCGCCCTAGAACTACAACTCAATCCCAAGACAAATATAACCTATGAAAACACAAATGATTAATGTAATGTTCACCTGCGAAAATTAGCAAAAACATGCCAGTATGGAGACGCAACAGACGAATTTATAAAAGACAGATTAGTAGTCGGTATAAGCAATAACGATATTAGAAGAAAATTGCTACAGGAAGACAATTTAACCTTAGCTAGGGCAATATCAAGTTGTAATTCGTTTGAAGAGACAGACAAACAACCTAAAAGCATGGCCGCTGGCGAATATGTCGAAGTGAACAAAATCGGTAACAGCGGGAAGTCTAGAAAAAACAATAAAAAGCAAAGCTCGAAAAA